TACCTTCTGTCCCCACTAGTATTTTTGTACATCAAATGTATCTATCAAAAAACAGAAACAATTTTAAGTGAGGATAATTTAACAAAAATGTAGCTAAAAATTGTATTGAGTGCTATATTCATCCCCTAGTGTAAATGAAAAAACCTGCTGGTTTTACTGTTACCAAGGAAACATGCCGTTGCTCTCCCTCTCCTTTGAATGTTTTTTATAACTCGGAAAAAGCAATGATTATGTTTGGTTTTTGCAGACAGGAAATCTACTTCAAGACTTAATGCAAACACAATGCTCTCTCATTCATGTGATACTGAAGTTTTGAAGGGATTAATTACATATTGCTACAAAAAATTAATAACACTGAAAATATTGAAGCATTCCTTATTGTGATGAGTTTGTGAGATAACGCAGGACAGGATGTCAGTCTATTACTTGAGAATCATGGCATATCTGAAAACTAAGTAAAAGATGCAATCACAAGTATATTAATACTTCAGTAATTGCTAAGAAAACTCTCCTTGCCCCAGTTACTACTATCATTTACAAGTTATGCTTTTCCTACTTCATATGTCACCCTGTCACTCAATCAAGTTTGGAAGTAAAGGCATCCTTGTTTGCCTAATCTCATAGTTAGAACATATTTTTTTTAAAAAAAGAAGTTGGGATAAAAACACAACAATAATAATTCTGTACAAGTAAACACAAAAGTGATTCAGGACCCTATGACTAATGACAATAACTGAACCTTTAGCTTTATGCCCAAATATCTACTTGCTTCACTGTTCTTTTCATTTTTCTCTCCATTCTCTGGAAAACTGAAAAAAAAACTGGGTAAAACCTTGCTACTCTTATTATCTGGTGTGTGTGTGTGTGTGTGTGTGCACGCGCGCATGTGTCTAGCATAGTATTTTATAAAGTATGTTTTAATTAATGGACAAGCTTGATTCTGAAATGTTTCCATTTCACTGGAAATGAAGGGGGAACAATAAAAAAAATACCAAGTCATGAAAATGAGCTGGGTACAAACATTGCAAATGTCTGACTATGTCAAGCAAATGGTAATCACTTTCATTCAAAAAATATATATAAATGTGCAAATTTATAAATGTATGTTCCAATAACTGTAACCAGAAATTGTACACATGTAATCAATTTTACCAAGAAAATGACTAAAATGTAAGTATAAATTCACTTTGTTGTTGTTTTGTTCAATTACATTTTATTTCTTTTATTTATATAGTGTATACTGTAAACTATCTTACTCAAGAAATGGTGTAATCAAAATCAAGTGCAAAATTAATGAGACAAATAATATAAAATAAACGTTAACCAAAGTATAATAGCAGAAATATTTTTCTAGTTACTTAATTATCCTGGCCCTCCTGACCATTTCTTGGAAAATATAAGAGGGAGGACAATGAGAGCCAGTCTGGGCTAGTGGTCAAGGCACTGGGCTACAAAACCAGGAGACAGTGAGTTCTAGTCTCATGAAAACCAGCTGGATGACTTTGGGTCAGTCACTCTCTCTTAGCCCATGATGACAAGCCGGTCAGTCAATTCCTGTGGCTAGCTGAGCCAAAATTAGAAAAAACAGATTCTGCACTTGCAGGAAAACTCTAGGAATAATAAGAGGGAGGTCTTGTGCTGAAGATACACTGTTACAAATGAGGGGAGCAGTCATCAAAATGCCCACCGCTTTGACTCTTCCTGTCCTATCTCTTGGTAAGAGGAAACTTCAGCAAAGAGCATCCTATTCACCCAAGTGTGTCTTGCAGAATTTACCTGAGATAGAAAATCTCTAGGAGACTCAGCTTCTGAGCTTCATTTTAAGGAGGTTGCACAGTGTACCCCAGAAATAACTGTTTTGCAGAAAGCTTGGGTAGGAGGATACTCTGAAAGTATTACTGCTTATAATACCATGTGTGCTCCACCATAAGCTCCAGTTGAGCATACGAGCAACCAAAGGAGACAGTACTGAAACTTAGAGTCATATATTGGGCAACACTAACTTTACAGTGACCTAAATTGGGATAAGGAAAAAAAACACCGCTAATCTACTCTTGGGCTGCCCCAGGCATGGGCTGCTCTGGAAGTGGTGGGTGAGGTAAGTTGCATAGATGTGAGCTTAGATAACTCAGATCCTGAATTATATTGGACTTGGTCCTGTCATTGTGTAATAAATCTGGCAGATTCTGGGAATGGAGGTAAATGAATATTTAGGGTCTGTCTTTCTGTTAAACAGTTCTCAGGAACCCATCTTAAAAGGCGCTGTTGTTTTGGTTTGTGAACATACAATACAGTTTTTAATTTCAGTCGTGAATTTCATTCAAAATCACTGTTGCAGTAGTAACAAAATCGAATGAGCAAATAATTAACCACAAATGAGGTTCAGGCATAACTAATGCGGTTTTGAAAGCACGATACAATACTTTACTGGTTTTAATGAGGTTTAGTTGCGTCAATATTTGAATTAACAACTATTTTACCTATGCTGATTCAAATCACTATCCTCGATTTTGAATTATTTTAAAATTGTGTTGCTTGTGCTAGTCATAAATGGTAACAGCAATAACTGAGTTGGGAGATAAAATGAATCTGCTTTATTTGATATTTAGAACAGAAATACATGTTCCAAAAGATTCACTGAAAAAAGACATTATTGTATGAAAAAAGCTAAGGCTTCACACGAGTTTTACCCCTTTTTTTCAAGCACTCTCATCAGTATTATAAAAGCTTTTTGAAACACACTAAATGGAATATCTCCATTTGTCATGTGAGCAAGAAAGAATATGGCTACTGCTATTTTATTATTGTGTTTATATAAACATAAACATATTTTGGAAAAATGGTTCATAATTCTCCTACTACAATTTTTTCTCCCTAGTTCCAAGAAGTCATTTGAAATTTTAATTAGAATATAGAGAAGTTTTTTTATTCCATGTCATACATTGGCCTATCTGACTCGGCAAGGTCAATACCCATTTTTTTCTTCTCTATATAGGTAGTCCTCAACTTACAGCCACATTTCCATTGCTAAGCAAGACAATTGTTGTGACTTGTGCCCCATTTTATAACCTTTTATTGGCACAATAAGTGATTCACTGCAGTAGTTAAACGAATCATGTGATCATTAAGAAAAGGATCTGGCTTCTCTCATCGACTTTCCTTGTTGGAAGCTGGCTGGGAAGGTTACAAATAGTGATCACATGACCCCGGATAATACAACTGTCATAAATATATGCCAGTTGTCAAGTGTCCAAATTTTGATCATGTGATCATAATGATGTTGCAGTAGTCTCAAGTGTGAAAACTGTTCGTAGGTCATCTTTTTCAGTGCTGTTATAACTTTGAAGGAATGGTTGTAAATTGATGACTACCTGTAATGCCTCAAAATACATTTCTCTTTCACCTGAACTACTTCCCATCCTTAATGACCATTTAAGATATTTTGGACAAGTAGAACATCCATGCTGTAAAGCAAAGAGCCACTAGCTCCCACGTATTTGCTAATGTCCTTTCCCTGGAATGTCTCTGGGCATTCTGTGCCCCTAAAAATGATGAAAGGAAACAATATGGGCTAGTTGGAAGAGAATAGATGGAAGAATCTTTTCCTTTCCTTGCTATATTTTAGCTGCTGAGTTTGCATGCTGCATAGAGTAGTAGGGAGATCAGCAGAGGGATAGACTTTTTTTGGCCCTTTGCTTTTCATGGTTTAGAATTTGGCAGTAAAATGGCTTGTCAGAAAAAAGAATGCCTTGTTGCTGGGAGGATCATCCAAAAATGATGGCTTGATGAAGACACAGGCTGCTTCTCTACTTGCACGTAGAGCAGTGTTTCTCAACCGTGACCATTTTAAGGCATGTGGACTTCAACTCCCAGAATTCCACAGCCAGCATTGCTGGCTGTGGAATTCTGGGAGTTGAAGTCCACATGCCTTAAAATGGTCAAGGTTGAGAAACACTGATGTAGAGCAATGATCCCAAATCATTGCTTTCACTTCATCCTTAGACTATCAGTGAAGTTATTAATTATACCAGTGTTAAAGCTTATTTATTCCAAGACTACCCAAGAACAACCTCAATGTGCATAAAATCTCTTAAGCATTGTCACCCCTTACTGTGGAGGAAAGTCAGATGCCTGACAGTGATCGGAAACAGAGACAATAAAGGTGGGATAACAACCAGCAACGAGGCCCGCAAATGTCAGGCTGGCACAATTTCTTCTCAGTCAAGAATGGATGGATACAGACTAGATCACAGACATCAGGAATAGTTCATAGGCTGGATGTTCGGCTTCTGGAATCCCACACTTAAAGAAGGCGGTGGGAAAGAAGCGAGGTGGCTTGAAGGGGATTATTTTCATTGGGACCACAATAAGAATTTTATTCCCTCATAGCTTCCATTTAAAAAACTTCTTTAAAAAACACCATGCAGAGAACCAAGCTGTAAGCTTAGCAAAAAGTGCAGCCTGGTGTTACTATTGTGTGTGGGCTTCCTTCCTCTGGGCTGCTTTTAGTTTTCTCACATTAATCTAATGGTTTAGCAAATTCCAAGGGGCTGCAGAATCAAGGCAGATGATCATTCTTAACTGCATGCTGGCTGAACCATCCCCAAAATAATTCTCTCCCACTCCAGGCTATCATCATATGGTAACAACCTTGGGGACTGGATTTATCTCAGTAGTGGCTTGCCAAAGTCATACGGTGAGTTTCATGGCTGAATTGAATGCAGTGTCCAGGTCCAAACTGAATACTGGCTTATGCTACATAGGAATAAGTAGAAGTGTTGGTGTTCTTGCACCACAATAGAGGTAACCCCCACCCAGAAGCCCGAATCTTCATGATAAGCTGCAGTAAAGCATCCAGTCACAGCAGAAGAATAAATTGTGCAAACGTGGCAAAGAAATCATACTGCAATTATGTACATACATCCTGCCCACGTTCCATTACTTTCATGTAATGTAAACTGGACTTCAAAGTCTACTCAACAGACTATAGCATTACTCACCTTTTCTAGATAAGAAGCCAGTTGCTGCCCCTCCCAAACAATTTCTGAATAAACTTCCTGTATTCGGCTGTCTGTATCTCAGTAAAGTAAGGTTGGAAATAGTCTTAAGTTCCCTAGAAACCTCTGCACCTTGGTCTCCAGTTCTGCCCCTAAAATTGGGAATATATGATCTAATTTACTAGTAATTTTATTTAAAATAAACATTTAAAATTAGGAATAAGCACATTTACAAATCTCGGCCACAACTACCAGGTTAAAATGCCATGGCAAAATAATACTAGCAACTCTTAGACAGAACCTCTTCCTTAAGCACTTGGGGGATCCTGCCCTAAATCCTGCGATCTGGGCATGGGTGAGCCAATGGTTTCTGCTCCTGCCCTTGGCCGGTTCTTGGTCTGTCCCCAGATCGCGCCTGAAACGGGTTCCCAAGGCTGCGCCTCCTGAGGGCCTGACCCCCACCGTAGGCAAGCCCAAACCCAGGCGGGACGGACGGGACGGACGGCTCACCCAACAGCAGCAGCTTCAGCTCCTTGCTGGAATGCTGCTTGTCTCGGCGCAGCCGCCGCTCGATCTCCAGCCTCAGGAGCCTGTTCACTTTCTCCTCTTCGGATAAGCAGCAGCAGCAGCACTGCCCGCCCATGCTCGGCAGCGCCCCGGGAGAACCGGGCTGAGGGCGCCCCTGTCTTGGGAACTTCGAAGATCCCGCAGTTAACTCGCCGCTTCTTCCCCGCCCGGCAGAAAACAGATCGAGCCCTTCGAGGGCGACGGCGGGAGGCCGCAACTCCGGCTTAAGTGTCAGCGTAGTCGGCTTGTCCCAGGGAGAGCGAAAGTCGCTCAGACGGCGACCCAGGCCACGCCCCTTCCCCACGTTCAGTTCTCGGGTAGGAGGCGTTCCGTTTCTGTCCGAAAACGGGTCTGTTTTCCTTTTGCTGCAAGCGAACGTTTACTTTTTTTGCTACTACGGGTGAGGATCCGGCGCTGTTCCCGGAACAGCAGATCCGTTCCCCCCCCCCACCCTTTCAGACGCTCGGGATGAAAACCCGACAATCTCAAGGTTACCTTAGGTTGACTTCGGTCCAGGCGCACCGTCGCAATCGCTCTCGTTACTTCGGGGTAGCTTCTTCCCAAATGTCAGTGTGGGGTCCATTTAAACGCACCGAATCAATGCCTCATGTTATGCCACGGTTTACTGAGCTATCTACCGTTTTACAGAGTTAACCCAGCGAATTGTTCTAAATCATATTTTAACAAGCCACAATAGCTGGCTTCGTGTTAAAGCCGAAGCCAAGCCACGTTACGGATTAGAACCAGTTTAATTTATGCTTTGTCACTCGGTGGCATGGGAGGGGGGGAGGAAATCAAAATGCAATATGATGGGTGCAGTGTTGTGATCCAAGCTCCATATCTCTGTTCTGTGCATATACAAAACAAGCAATGCTTGGGTTAAGATCCAGTTCCCACCATCTGGCTGGTTTTGATCATTCTCCTTTGGGAGAAGCTTTGGAGGAACCCTAATGTGGCTTGTGGCTTAATATATTTGATCCAGATTGTTATAGGTCATTAACCGTGGTCCACGATTAAATTATATGTGTGAAGCGGATCATTAGATTCAATAAGAACTATCAAAACTCATTGAAAAAGAACAGCTTTTTGAGCTAGTAACTTCACAACAAATCTTGGTCATCTGTTCAGTGAGCTCCCGTTGCTATCAGTTGGTGATTTTCCATCTCTGGATTCCTTACTTGCCTCTTTTTTCTACCAGTGTCAGCATTTGAGAGGTCTTCTTGTTCATTTCCTGTAGCTTTTCCCAATTTTGTCCTTCTCTTTTTCTGCCTGCCTTACAATTATACTCTTCCCAGTACGGATATCATTGCATGTCTCTCTCCAGGCAGGATAAACAAACTTCAAGGAGCTGAACTTTTGAACTGTCACCTGTTGGGTGGATATTGCCTTGTACACATTCAGTACTGAATCTCTTTCACAAAATGTTGAAAAGCAGAATCCCTGGGACCACCACAGACCAACAAGAAGAAGTAATAATAATGTAAACATACAGTACTTAGTCCAAGAAAACCGTGTTTCATGTGAGGGGGCTTGAAATGGACTCACTCCATCTGTCTGTGTTTCTGCCACCAGAAGAACTCTTTGTAAACTAAACAGGATGAAATTTCATTGGGAAGGAGGAGCCATAGAAAGAAAGATTGAATTCAAAATGGTCCAGATCTGGAGAAAAATATTCCAGAAAAAATTCTCTTAGTGCAGGGGTGTCAAACTCAATTTCATTGAGGGCCGCATCAGCATTGTGGTTGCCCTCGGGGGGCCGGGTGGGTTTGGCCAGGGTGGGTGCACCTACTGGGTGGGCGTGGATGGAGTGGGTGTGGCCTATGAGGTGGGCATGGCCAGCTCTACATCGTTCGCATCAAGGGTGCCTGTGGGGGCCTGGGCAGGAGTGGGACAGATCTGAGGGTCTCTGGCAGAAGGGGGTGGGACCAGGGCAAGTGCCAAGGCATGGTCCACCTGGCTCAGCCTCTTGACGCTATGAGGAGAGTGCCCCACTGCCTGCCAAAACCCCTCCCCCGGAGCCCATCAAGCTGGATATGTGAAGTAGGCCAGGGCCATTTGCTGGCCACTTCCAGGCGATGGTGTATTTCTTCATTCCTCACAAAGAGTGACACCTCCCCAGCATGCATCCTGGGGATGGGGCCGACAGGGCAGGTGCTGGTTCCTCGCTGTTTCCAGACGGCCTTGTGGAGCTAAGACTAAATGCATTTCAGCATAAATGGCCACCACAAAATTGTACATTGGCTCCCGGCCAGCCTGGGCCAAGGCCAAGACAGCGGGGGCCGTTCCCTCACTGTTTCCAGCATGGCTTCGTGGGCCGCATCTGCCCCCCCTGGACTTGTGTTTGACATGTCTATCTTAGTGCATTCCTGTCAGAGAGGCAGTTAAGCAGTGATTTGGAATGTTGCTGATTGCTCCATTCTAAATGCCCCTCCCTCTCAGTCATGTGATCCAGAGAGGAGGTATATAACCTGCTTTGTTCCTCAGAGTCCTTGCTGAAACAGCTATACAGAAGTGCAACATGGTACCTCACTCCACAGCAGAAAATGTAACCACCTCCTAGGAACACTGTTGGCAAAGAGAGAAAAAAAAGGTTTACTCCACCTTTTTATTCTTTTCAAACCCAGCAAAATCTTTGTAAGAAATTACATAAAGAGGCTTAAGGCTTTGGCTAGTAGATAGACTTAGTATAAGGAAGTTTCTGATGTGATTGAACCGGCTAGATATTATATTCTTATGACATATTCTCCTGGTAATCTTCAAAAAAAATGTTGTAGCGAGTTACTTCCAATTAGGATAAGAAATACTTCCTATGGGGTTGCTGATCTACAGCCTTTACTTTGCTTTGATTCCACTCTGTTGATGGTTACAACACTGAACTCTTCTCTTGGGTATGCATGTTCATACTCTTTCCAACTCAGCTGATGGTCTTCTTGTCCTCACCCTCCCTCCACCCATTGCTATATATATTTTCACCTTAAATCATAATTTCTAGAAGAGGTTGAGGATGAAATTTGGGAAAGGATTTCTTAAACTGGCTTTATTTCCAGCCAGTTTACACATGGGAGGCTAGCAGCTGATGGCTACAGTGCCGAAAAGCCTATAAAGCTTATTCTTGTTCTTACTGTTTATTTTATTACTCATACTTTTATTTTCTTACTCTTTTTTCCTTGCGGGCTGACCCTGGTAACCTTGAAAGGAAAGTGTGATGGGGATATATTACGGGAATTCCCCAAACTCCTACTGCATTGTGATCCATACTGAGGCAATATTAGCTCATGTATTGAAAAACATGGTTGGGCCTAAGGAAGTGCAAGGCTGGAGGGCCCTCTTTCTGGGAATCAGGTACAGAAGGTGGGGTAAAGGGCATTCTTTCGGAGTTGAATTAGCAACTGAGGATTGCTAATTAAAGTAGCTAGTTTTCTTGAAGAAAGCTTTCCAGTACATAATTGGTAGACATTATTTGATCCCAGGAGTATAGAGATGATAAGAAGTTAGTCTCTTTTCCTGTATTCAATCCTGCCTTGTAGGAATTCCCCCCCCCCAATCCATAGGTGCTGCCTTTCATTTACAGATAATTAAACTCCACTTATTCTCAATATGTAGTAAATTCTGTGATCTGATCCCACAGATTCCTATCTTGCAAGTTTCATCCTTGATGTCTTATTTTCAGTACTGCTTATTGCTCTTTGATATGCTAAGCACAAGGGTGCCCTTGACCTAACCAGGAGAATATGGTAATCAGGGAGTGGTGACAATGAAAGAACTGGAACAGTTCATGGGTGTAAATGGTTATTTATTAATATCAGACAGCCTCCTATATCATAAACTTAGGAGCTATAAGTTACAGGTAATCTATGTTTTATATACAGAATACAAATAAGGAGAAGAAAGTGCCAGTGGTTGAGTTTAAGACATTCTATACATTGGTCTAATAAAAATATTAGACATTGCCTCTTCCCCAGGCTAATATAATTAATTTTGCTTTTGGGCGTACTGCTTGTATGATGAAAATGAAGGTGAAACAGGCTGTAACATTCAATGCCTATTGAACAGTGTTATACAGAATAATAATTGATCTTTAGATTGCTGTCATTTTAATATTCCATTTATCAATATTTTAACATTTTAGAGTATCAGTGCATTTAGGTCTATCCATAAAGGTAGTCCTTGACTTATGACTGTAATAGAGCCTGTTCATTATGATAAGTTGTAGTGATTGTTGTAAAGTGGTGGTCAGGTGACTGACTGATTTTATTTTTTGGGGGAATGGTGGCCTTTAGTAAATATACCAGTTGTAAAGCTAATGCTATGGTCATTAAGCAAGCCAATTGTTCATTATGGGCTGGGTTTGCTGAAAACCAGAAGCAAATGCCAGGTTTTGGCAAAAACATCATTAAATGTGGTCACATGACTGCAGGATGCTGCAAAAAGCCATAAATTCCAAGAGCCCGAAATGTGGTCATGTGACCAAGGATCAGCTGTCAGAACTTGGAATAGCGTTATAGCTACTTCTGCTAAGCTCTGTCATAACTTTGAATGATCACTAAGCAACTGGTTATAAGTTGAGGACTACCTATAGTTTCGAGTGCACTTTATAATAATAATAATAATGATAAAGTTGGAAGGGACCTTGGAGGTCATCTAGTCCAACCCCCTCCTCAGGCAGGAAACCCTATACCATTTTGGACAAATGGCTGTACAGTTTCTTCTTGGCGCATTCACTGCTTCTGGAGGCAGGTTGTTCCACTGGTTAATTGTTCTAACTGTCAGGAAGTTTCTCCTTAGTTCTAGGTTGCTTCTTTCTTTGGTTAGTTTCCACCCATTGCTTCTTGTCCTGCCTTCAGGCGCTTTGGAAAATAGCTTGACTCCCTCTTCTTTGTGGCAGCCCCTGAGATATTGGAACACTGCTATCATGTCCCCCCTCGTCCTTCTCTTCGTTAAACTAGACATACCCAATTCCAGCAACCATTCCTTATATGTTTTAGCCTCCACTCCCTTAATCATCTTTGCTCTTGCTCTTCTTTGTACTCTTTCTAGAGTTTCAACATCTTTTTTACATCGTAGTGGCCAAAACTTGATATGTCTATCCATAGTTTCAAGTCCCTGGTTTCATCAAAAGATGTTTTGGGCAATGAAAAGTAAGTTTGGATTAACTTGTGTATCCTATAAAACATCAACTTCATTTTGTTGACGTTTACAGAGGAGCCTGAAAAAGTCTGGCT